GGTTTCAGGGTTCACACTCTGAACCAGAATCAGACCTCTCTAAGGAAATGAATGCTGTCCATGCTTTTTGTTACATTTCCCTCTCAGCTTTCACAGAAAGCTCTTCCTCTTATGACTAACATTAATCTCTAAATTTAGTAGTACTGTTCTGTTCTGCTAACATGCATCTGAAACAGAATTATTCCAGTGATAGCTGAAACGTCTGTTTGGTGGTTCAGGAGAGCTATTATTATTGGATTGTACAGAGAAAAGCATTATAGAATTCTCTCCTAACAGTAATTTGCTGCCTCTACTATTCTTCTCGTTTTAATGGTTTAGAACAATATAACAGAAATGACAGTCTTTAGAACCGAAAGCTGGCAAGTCTGGTTTATGTTGGATTTTTTTCTGAAGTGTTAAATAAAGAAGTCCTTAAATCTTTCCATAGTCTATTAGCTATGACGTCTAAGGAGATGTAGAATGCCTAAAATGCGGAAAAACAAGCAGTGGCCAACTGGTGTGAACGTTGCCTTTTTTTCAGAGGTGATAAAATTATTATATATTATTATATAGCTGTTTGGTAGAACCATTGATGTTAACATTTCTGGTCATTCTGCAGAATTTATGAGGCTGTAGTTTGTCATCCAGGTTTTACATTTGTGCAGAGTGACCGCATCATTATTACACTCTGTTTACAGGAAACTTGCAAGGGTTTGATTTCCTCTCAGGCAAGTTTTTCAGGACACAGTTTCATAACACCCAGCAAGTTCCCTGCTTGGTTTACCCAGGAAGAACTCCCTGCTGGGTCATACCCAAGACCTCAGCCAGTATTCTGTCACAACCAGTGGCAAGAGGAGATACAATTCATGGAAAGTGCATTTTCCCACTTGGTCATTAAATGTTTCAGTGCTTCCTATCACTCACAGTTTTTGTATTAGGATATTAGAATCTCTCTGTATACTCTCTTCAGAATCCGGATGAATATCTGTTAATGAGTTTGTCTACTGCCTCTTTGAAGCTGCTGCTGCTGCTGTAGAAGTTCACCATCCTTCATGAAAGAAAAGTCTTTTATGTGTTGTAAAATGTTCTTCTTTAAAAAAAAAAAATCATCTGCTTCTAGAATTATCATGTTTGCTGAATAATAATTTACAATCATAATCTTCAGGATATTCAAAAACTCCTTCAGCACTCTCCTGGCAGCTGAAGTGCCTCAGCCTTTTTAAGACTTCTCCTTATAAAGCACTACTCCAGTCCTTTTGCCCCTCTCTCTTGCCATAGATGGTGTTACAGATATGCAGATTTTCAGTTTCAGAGCAGAAGAGAAACCACATTGGATCGAAGACCCATCTAGTTGATTTTCTTATGTCCAAGAGTATTCAAAAAGTGAATGACAGAGAAGCAGTATATAAAATGAGACAAGTTTTTGTGGTACTTCCCCCATGTACTCATCCAATCTCCAGCCTTTTGTGACTAAGGCATTTCCTGAGACAGATATGGTTTCCACATCTTTAATAACTCTCTGTGGTCTTTTCTTGTGCCTCCCTGAGTGGAGGGAACTTTGGCATACTTAACATCTTGTGGCAAAGTGATCCTTAGCTTAAACACAGATTATATGAAAACTCATTACTGTTTGTTTGTTTGTCTTGAAGGTGCTTACCTGCTAGTTGCACTGAATGCCTCCTACTCTTGGAGTGTTTTCCTGGTGGTTCTTCATATTGAAATCACAGACCTAATATTTCACTCTTAAACTTAAAAGGACTAATTATATTTTATTAGCTTTAGGGATATTTTTAGACAGGCTTTTTTTTTTTTTTCTTCATGTTAGTGATTTTACTCAGTAATTTCTTTCATGAGAGACCAAGGCAGATTTAAGGTGGCATTCATATGTACCTTATTATATACGATTATATTTGCTTATGATCATCAAAGTTTTCCTTAAAACTCCATTTCCTTGATTACATGAGAATCTCAGCTCTCATTTGAAAACTAACAGCAAAATTGAAAGATGCAGCCAATGAGCAATCTTGATCTTAAAACCAAAAATAGAATGAAAAAACCCACCCATAAAGTCAATATTTTGAGCCTTGATATTAACTTCTGAACAACAGAGCTGGCAACATTATTAATGCACAGTGATATCCGGGAGGCATAGAGTCTCCACCACAGACGCACCTCATGTGTCTGCACTAACGCTGGTCCTTATCGTACTCACAGGCAATTTCCAGGGACTGTATCTCATTTAACCCTCTAACATTGATTAACATGATGAATGTTCTCAGCATAATTCATCCATTTGAAGTTATCTACACTTTGGAAATATATTTGGAGCTTTTACATCCCTACATGGCCATTAAAGAGCCTACCCTTTTGAAATGCACAGGCTCGCAGAACCCCCCTCCAGCAGCACAATAAGCTGTCTAACTGATGATCAGTGGCAGGCTGCCAAGTCATGCCAAGTTTACGTGGATATGAGCTTATGCTCTTGCACATAATACAGGTGAAGCCAGAGAGATGTTTTTTAAACTGTTCATAGTATTTGACCTTCTGAGGGTGAACCAGATCTGAATTTGCTCTGAAATGTTACTGTATTAAGGTTTCTCATCAGTTCTGATGCATGATGAGTCAGTGGCATTAATTCCAGTCTGGTATTTCTTCTCTCTGCCCTCACATTCACCCCTTTGATTTCAGTCTCTCAGAAATTCAGTGAGGTTTGAAGTCAAGTGCATTTTCCTCTGCTAAATGCTACTCAGCTGGCTTCAGCCACCTTTCAGGTTTTTAATTGTCATTATGATTTGTTCAAAAATTAAATAATAGTCCAAACAAAGATCAACTGCTGTTTACTTCTGATACTGGGATTTCAGGCCATGCAGAAACATGAGACATAAAAGCCACAGGACGCTCCTAAAGTGCATGCATAAATCTTCCCAAAGTCATACACAGTGCTGTAGGTCTTTGTCTACAAATTTTCCCTGTTAAAGCCTTAACTGGAAGCTGACTGAAGGAACGCATTTTTTGAAGCAGTTTCCACTGAGATACTTTCTGTTTGCAACGTACATGCTGGCATACACAAAATCTGTGCAGTCTGGGGTGATTTGAAAAAAACCTTTCTCCAGACAGACAGAAGAATGTGGTCATTTGCCTTTTCTTCTCTCCACCATCAATTTATTATCATGTAGGGTCATGAAGCCATAGGGACTAAGCAGTAAGCCATTTCCCTATGGTGCCTGAATTTAATTAGGTACTGATCAATCCGTTGTACACTGCTGTGCTTCACAGCTCTTAAAAACTAAACCAAACTGGCACTGACATACTGCTTAGATTGATATTATACCAAGGGTACAGTCCTGGTTTTGATATATATCCATAAAGGGTTATCAAGTACAAGGTATGAAGCTCAGATGGGAAAAAGTCACCGTAAACTGAAATTTTGGAAACAGTATGAAGTAGCTTGTATCCCAGCATATTTACTGCACCAGTAGAAACTTTTCCTATATGCACAAGTTGTGGTAAAAAGATGCCTTAGAGGCTGATTACAAAGAATCCTATAGAGAATTTGGGTCTGTCTCTTGAAATATTCACATCAGGAACAAAAACCTTAAAAAAACCCAAACAAACAAACAAACAAAAAAACAACTGACCAAAGCAAACCACTAGGCTTAAAGGAATTGAAATCATTCAGAGGTGTACGCAGGCAGGCAGAGCTCTCCCTCAGCACCCCTCCAGCCCTCCCCCACTGCCCAGAGGTGCAGGGGGTTCACTCCCCACCACCCCCTGCTCTGACTCCATCCCAGACACAGCTTCTCCCCGTGCCACCAGCTCCCACCACGCGCTGTGTGCAGGCCCTGTGGCAGCACAGCCACCCGCCTGCCTGCGGACACCTTCCTTCCACAGCAAATGAGCAGCCTTCTGAGCAAGGGGCGAAGCCTGCCTGCAGGCAGCCCGTGGCGTGGCTCTGTCATGGGCAGGAACAAAGGTGGAGATTTTCCAGCAGTACAGACGTGGCTCTGCTGTGCCCTGCTAGGTGTACAGGAGCAGCCCACTGCTGCTGTAACAACTAGACATAATTTACCTTCCCAATCCTGTTCTTACCTTGCAGAAAGGCATTTTTAACAAAAAACATCAACTAGTGTGCACAACAACATGCGCCATTTCAGTTTTGTTAAATGAAGAGAACTCTAATAAAAAGGATAGAAAACAAGGCGCTGCAGGAGAGGCAATTTTCATTGCAAATCAACGATTTGGATCAGTTTGAATGGATGTTATGTGATAGGTGTTTTGCAACAGTCTGTCATGCTGGCACTCTAATAGCAAGCATCACTTACAATGCTGCCATTGAAAGGACAGAACTTCATATTTATCTGTCTAAAAAAGAGAAACTATTACTCTGCCAAGATCCTTGCAGCTTTCCATTCTACAGTGCACAAGGAATTGCTTAAAACTACTGCCATGAGGTGGCTGTATGATGCTCAGTTATCATTTTCAAGAAGCCTTCTGCCTCAGTGTTTTATTATTGCAGAAATAAACTACACACATGCTATGGTCTAGCCACTAGGAAGGAGGAATCCCACCTTGAAATCTGACGGTAGGCTGGGCTGTTAACACTAGTTCTTGTTATGGCAGCATAACACCTCCCACTCCTTATAAACTGATCACTTTCACCTGCTCACAGTTTCTTGTCTGCCATGTACAGGTGTATTCCTGGGCTGGGTGTCTCAGGAAGAAAATGTCAATAAAATGTAAGCAGATTTTTTGGTTTGTTGGGTTTTGTTTGTTTTGAGAAAGGTGCAGAAAGCATGCAAACCATTTCATTGAAAACCTCTACCGTGTCTCCCATTTGGAGAAGTAACTTTAAGTCTAGCAGTGGGATATGCCTTCTTCCTTTTTCCCTTCAAAACCAGCTCAGACCTGGCCAAATTAGGGGCCTCTGAGAATTTTAGTTCACACATGCACAGCTGCAGGCTTGTTAGAGGCTGGCAGATACATTTCCTGTGGACTTTGAGTAGGTTCTGAACCTGCTTGAGCAGCGTAATCTTTTGTTGAGACCACTGTTCCTCCATCAGGCACCATGATAACGTTCAACATCAGTTGTTTGTTACACTCTTTTAATCTTTGGCAGCAAACACGATAACAGCCTCCCTCGCCTAATAACTGCATCATGTCCAAAGACTGCTCCATTCTGTGAGCTGAATGAGGTTGAGATTGGATAAAAAAAAATCACAGGAACCTGTCATTCAAGGCTCTAGTTCAACACATGGGATGTTAATCCTGATTGAGTGTAGGGCTAAGCCAGGGAAGCGAGTACTTTTCCCTCTACTCTGTCCTCCACAGTAGTATAGCCAAATGTTGTCACGGAGAGCGTAATATCTGCATGACTCCACAATATGAAACTGAAATGGAAAAAGCTAACAGCAGACTTACCAAATTAAAAGCCTGCAGATTTTCAGGTTGGATTTATATTCAGTTTACCTACCTATGGCAAGCCAGGATTAACAAATATTGCTTCACTGTGGTGAAGCAATTTAACCTATGCTTATCATAAACTACCCCAGGAAAAAATCATGACAGCAGGTTTGGGCCATCCAGCCTAATTAGTTGAGCTTAAATCAGCTGTCTGGCTGGTTAGGCAGCAAATCCCTAGGCTGACTTCTTATCTTTCATCTTGCAAACTGCTGTCAAATGAGTGATCATTTGGGACCTGCTGCTGTTACATGCACACTCTTCTGCTACCATGGATCCACATTTAGAGTTATTGTATGATAAAAATACCTTTTTTCCTCTCAGCTCTCTTGTTTCACTCAAGAGACTCAGAAAAAGCCAAACTGATGGTAACCTGAAGTGGATGTGACAGTAGACAGGTGTCACAACTATCTGAGATTGTGAGGGGCAGCTGTAGCTATAGATAAGGAGAGGTGGATTTCACTTGTGTCTTCATGTACTGTTCCTGTACATTACTGCTCTGAGAAGACATTTAGGGCAGGAGAAGTTTCAGGAATGACCTGCAAAAAAGGTCTGGTAATGCAAGCAGACAGCGCTTGTAACCATACAAGAAAAATATTCCATCACTCCTTTTTTTCCTAGTTATGAGGAATATTTATTAACAACTTTCCCTGAACTGTTATAATTTTTTCCAATTTCATTTCTGTTCATTATTGCTTAAATATTAAACAAAGACATGGATGTTTTTATGATGTGCTATTTTAACTTCTGTTTTTACTTTGTGCAATTGCAGGACATGTTCACATCACTGACTTTAACATAGCAACCATAGTGAAAGGCTCTGAAAAAGCTTCCTCTATGGCTGGCACAAAACCCTACATGGGTAAGTTTTTCAAGACCATTTAAAAATGTGAGAAAAGTCACACATTAAGTTTGAGTAATTTTATGTTAACAGGGTTTTAAGTGGTAAGAGCATACAATAAATGTGATCAGCTTGGTTTTTTGACACTATATATGTGTCAGCAATAGAAAACATGAGATAAAGTGATTAGGTAGGAGCTTGGTCTCTACAATGCTTCTGGTCAGGTTCTGTTTAGCTTTGTGAAGCAAATTCAGGAGAATTTCAAATGTGTTACTTCCTGCAGATCTCTACATCTTGATACAAATATGCTTATATTTGCTCCACTATGGCTTTAATCTATCAGACAACATGTAATATCAGTTTAAAAGTATCTAGGCACATCCTTAATTGCTTTGCTATGCTGAATTCCTTAGAAAAGTATCAATTTAAAATTAGAGTTCTATGTTGCTAACTGCTTAAGAGCTTGCCCTATGGCTTTTGGAGCTTTTTATATGTATTTGTTATATACTTTAAATGCATAGATAGAATGAAGGCTGAGAGAGTGAGATTTAGTTCATCTGACCTCATAAGTCTAAAATATAAGAATTTGACTAAGTTAATAATCCAAACTACCCCTGGAGCTAGAAGACAGAAGGTATTTCCAGAAGGTCATTTGTCTCACCAAAGTTAGGCTAGCTTCCATGGTTAAGAATAGGTGTGATTTGTCCTCTTTGTGGCTTCCTACACATCTGCCATATTAATTCTCTGTGTATGCAGTATTATTGTTGGCTGAGGAGATGCCTAGCTTAAGACTTACCATATTTGTATTCTGGAAACCATACTGAGAGATATGTGTCTCTAACAGACTTTTTTTCTTAGCTGACATGCTCAGTACACATCTAACGCTCATGCAATGGTAAAATATTGGCAAATGGTCATATTCTGATCAAAGGCCACTGTGTTACCATGTTTCTGCATGTTAGTATAGGACTAAAAGCATATGCCTGAGAAATAGGGCTCAGGACCTGTGCACCGACCTGATGCCGGTTAGCTTACTCTTGTATACCTACTCAAACCAGACCAAGAAATGTTACATGTCGTCCTGACTCAAGGGTTTAAGTTATGCAGAGAAATTAGGTTTTAAATTAAAATTTTTTCAGCATTTTGTAATATTAGCTTCCGTGTCTAGTTCAGTATCTCTGCTTAGAAGATAAGGCTAACCCTGCACAGCAGGATATGGAGCACTAGGAGGTCAAGTCTGCCTTACTGGGCTTCCCCTCAGGACTGGTACCTGAGTGTTTGATATTACACCACAAGTTCACTATTATTTGTGGTGAAAAATGAGGGGAAGGGAAGCTGCAGTGTCACTTACACCAACAGCTTCAATTGAAAAAGAACTTCCTTGAGCATTTTTGCCTCTATGTGGTGGGCTTATCTACGGGGAAAAAAAAAAAACATCAACCCAACAAAACAAAACAAACCACCACAAACACACAAAAAAAACCAAAACCAAAAACAAACACTTAGGAAAAAAGCAAGTAATTTGACCTCTCCCCAGCACATAGAGACAAATAGCTGTACAATTGACATGTAAAACTAATTGCACAGACAGAAGTGCTGTTACCTACATGATGATCAAAATGTTAACAGTTTCTAACATTCTTGATACAGTAGTTTCACATTTCTGTGAAGAACTTATTTCTTGGAATTCACACATTCTGTTTAAATAACTGCCTAGAACCTTCTAGTAGCCAGTGTCATTAGATGTGTAAGTTCTTGTTACACAGGTTATTCAAAAATACTCTTGAAGAGCAGCTATTTCACAGGAGCTCAAACACGTTTAGAATAGATGTTTTCCTTATTTAATTGTAATGATGAAAGCAAATATAAAACAGTCTTTTCTGACATCCAATTTGGTAGTCAAATGAGTTGTGTTGATCTTACATTTTTTAAGAGATTGCACAGTTTTACATTAGAAAGCATAATTGTTACGAAAGCAGAAAAAAGTTGAGTACTTGCTTGGGGATCAGTTAGCATTTTAGTGATTAATGATATACACATTATCTGAATGTGTATAATGAAGAGATCATCTGGTGACTAATGATCAGAACCGGATTAGTTAAAACAGCTCTACAAAAATGTGAGTATACTTCAAATATTTTTGAAAATATATTGAAATATTTTTCAAGTATTGACAGGAAACAGTGTCTGTGGGAGCATCTTTCAGACTATCTACACAGATTGGTGCACCACTACCTTCTTACTTAGTTCATTAGTGGTCTCTGTTGGCAGGGTTTTCTCACAAGAAAAAAAGATTTTTTTTAGCAGCAGCAAGCACAAAAATCTGTAACACTTTGGACTGTGGTTCGGCATTTTCAATTTAAAATTATGAAAAATCGCCCTATCCTTTTGGAATTCCTACTTTCCCCCCCTCACAAAAGGAAGCAAGTTGTTCTTTGTGTAGCTGGCATTTGCTAATAAGTGGTACAAGGAAGGAATTGCTGAGATTCATCTTAAAACCCATCTGTTTAATCTTCATCTATTCAATGCAGAGATGCTAAAGTCCAGTCTACCCTGCTTAAATTCCATTTATGTGCCTTTCTGAAGTATTCTCCATTTGATAGAAAATGTCCTTGAATTTAGTAGGGAAATACTGAATGTACTAGGATAGATTGTGTTTTTTTATAGCTTTATTGGTTTGTAATTGATCCTCAGCTTAACATCATGGCAAATAAATTCTGGTCTAAGTCTGGAGTGCCATAGATATCTACTCCTCTTTGACTTCACGAGGAGCGGCATGAGCTCCTGGAGGGTTCCTGTAAGAGCCCAAGCAGATCCAAGGAAGGAGGTAAACTATAGATCTAGAGCAGAGGTAATATAGGAGATGGGGCCAAGGTTTTACCTTGGCATACTAATGAATTGTTATCTTGATTCACTTCAGACTATGGAGCTGTTCTGACCATGAATCCTTTTCCCCACACATCAGATGTCCTCCATATCCAACAATCTTGCTACAAGAAGTAGTAGTACAAGAAAAATGCTTTTTTTTGCCCCCCTTTATGAAGGGACTATGGCATCATCCACCAGTTTACTTTCTGTCCAGTGTGCCTTTCTCATGTCTCAGGAGTGCAAAAATACTACAAAATCCACATGCGTAGTCTTCGCTACTCAGAGTCAGAAGAGTCATCTTTGCATCTATTTGGAGGTGTAAGAAGGAAGGAAAGCTTTTAGAGCTGTAAAAATCCTCTGTCAGGTGAAAAGTGATTGGTGAAGATTCTCTGTGGCATAGCTTTGGTATCAAATCTTCAACAAAACTTAAAATATTAAGAGTTTGACAGATAAGGCCAGACGATCATTGCCGTTGCCTTTTGTCTCTAAGTGTATTGATTTAAATTCCTTTCTTTTAGTTTACACTTTTAATTTTGTGGAGAATCATAACTTTAATGAAACCCTGCAAAGACTTTTGATTGCAGTGCTCAAATTAAGAAAGTTTTGGGTTAGCTTTTCGTAGTTAAGTCTGTGTGATTTCTAGCTTTAGGGCTGTATGAAAGGCTTTCCATGTGGCTTCACCCAAGCCATTTAGACAATGAGAGAAGTAGAAAAAAAGAATTGGGGAGGTTGGCTCTGTAGTTGGTAGTAAGCTTTCATTACCAGGAATTTAAACCACACTTTAACCTCGGTGTAACAAGACAAAATTGTTGTCAATCCAAGGTACTTGCTGAGTGCCACAACCAAAGAAACTTAGTGGTTCCTGTAAGACATGCCTTGCACTATACTGGTTTTCATGGTGATGAAGCTATAAAATGCCAAGAAAGCTTTTATTCCCCCCTCTCTTAGAGGTTTATGAAGGCTTGCTGTCACGTGGTTCCTGTTATGTCTAATCAGACATGAGGGCACTCTCCAAACTTTCCCTTAGTAGAAGTAATTGTTATGATTTCTCACTTCTTCCTATGGCCAACTTTAGGAAATAAACAAATGTTATCTCTAAAGCCTCCACTCCTATTTTAAAACTGATTGACATAGGCTGAGAAATTTCTAGGGAGTGATTTGCTCACATGCAGCATGACTGCATAAAACTAGTATCCATGAAAAAAAGAAAAAAGTCAATAGATTTTTGTTGTGTAAAAATGCATTAGCTTCTCTGATTAAGATGCCTATCTTGTAATGCTAGGCATGGTGTCAGTCAGCTGCTGCAGCCTTTGCTTAATCCCACTTCAGATTAGCCTTTCGTCCCTAAGTGTTTCTCGGCCTGAAGTTTTCCCTGCCTATTTCCCTGTTATTAAATGGTTACAAAGAGTGCAATGTATCTGAACCTGAATTTTTTTCCAGAAACCCTGGTAATTTCTCTGAGTTCCCCTTCCCAGCTGATTCATTCAGACAAGTGAAATACCTTCCACCCATAGGCAACAAAAAGATAGACAATGGTGAATCCGAAAGGAAGAAGTTCAACAGCCTGACAAGACAAAGTGCTTCTAGTTGTTTCTGCAGTTTTACTTCTCAAAGCCATTGACCTGAAATGCTGAACTGAAATTAACTTCTTGGTGCTGGGGCATCTTCAGAGTTTCTATCTTGTACCGTTCAGACGGCTGCACACTCGAGCCTGATTTTATCATTACAAATTCACTGCTCAAACTTTCTGCCACACCTGTGGTTGAGGGTGTTGTCAAGGGTTTTATTGTAGAAAGAGCCCTTTGAAAACTCACAAGTTTTCAGGCTGTTATTCTATGCTGGCAAACAGTGCAAAATGTCCTTTGAGACCCAGCTGACTTCTGGCAGGCATGCCTGCAGCTAACAAATGAACACAAGACCTTGTGGGGGGGTCCCCTCCACTGTGCACTGACATGTGGATCAGGAAGGCCAGCGCAGGGCAGGACACGGTCCCTGGCCACAGCCTGTGCCTAAGGATATTCAATTGTGGCTCTTTCTTTCTATAGAAGGGTATTCATTAGGCCCCCTGTATTTAAAGAAAGAGTGCATTTGCCTGGCTGGAAGCACCTGTGTAGGTGTTTGCCATTTTCAACACTGCTGTACCTTTATGAGTG